TAAGCTGCCAGATTTTGGAGGGTAAGTTTTGGTTGAAGCTGTGAATTTTGGATTATAGTCATCAGCACAGTAACTAGCGTTGGAGTCAAGGTCAGAATAATGATTGAAAGGTCTTTTGGGGATGTCTGGTTTGGACGTGAAAAGGCCCCAAATTGGTTGGTCATGCTGGGTAGCAACAGCACGAGACGGCTGATCATTTCTTTTTAGCTGGCGAATGATCTCTTCTTTCTCCTGAAGCTCTGACTTGAGTCCAGCCAATCTTTCTTTTAGCTGCTCAGTTAAACTGTTTAACATATTTTCAGTGCTGCTATTCTTTCTTTGGTCTGATGACTTCCTGTGAAGACGCTTCTTTTTTTGGGCTGTGTAGACAGAAAAAAAAATGTGTCATTAATAATGTGACATTAATTTACGGATTAACAAGAAGGGAAAGTAAAAGCAACCCAAACTATTTTTGTAAAAGAAGACATAATTTTAAAGTGACTTTAGCTGTGAAGCAACAAAATGAAGATTTTTCCCACCAAACATTTGAATCTGAAGGTAATAAAAACATTAAAACACTTATAGGCAACTTTTCACAAGCTTGTCGCCCGTCCTTAACTTCACTGCATAGTTGTACTTTCTTTTTTTTGATTGGTGACAGTTACAGGACCACCACCAAGGGAGGCACTGGGCACCCACCAAAATTGTCTGGCCCCCCCAAGTGACCCCAGCACCAAGAACACAAGTGAACACAAGAGAGGGCAAGACACCCTACAGTGAGTTGAAACATTAACTTGTTATTTATTCCTGCCTATATCATTTTTGTCACTTTAGATGTCCCTCACTGTTCTGTCTTTGCTGTGCCACCCCCATATTTTTTTGGCCCCCATATGAAAGATTTCTAGAGGTGTCCCTGAATAGACATGAAACAAGTAGAGATACTAAATAAAGATATTTTGGTGATTATGGAGAAGTAAATGTTATGGACTGGTACTTGTATATCACCTTTCAACTCAGTTGAGCAGACATCTAAGTCTCATTCACCCAATCACATGTGTTCATGCAGCGCTTAAGTACTTTATTGCATTTACATGAATGCACTGGGGTCAAAATGGGGTTCGGTATCTGAACACGGATACCTCAGCGCGTAGTCAGTCAGACGAATCCACCAGTCTTACGATTGGCAGATGACTCGCTCTAACACCTGAGCCACAGCTGCCACTATGTGTGCACCTTTGGCCATTAAGAGCACTGCAACTATATTTCTAACTTTTGTTTTATAATATGTGACATTAACAGACTTTCACAAGTCTTACAGGACATTGTTTTTTTTTCTTTTGAAGAGTGGGTTGATGTTTTTGATAGCACTAAAAGCAAAGCTGTTGCTATTGTTTTTTCTACTGAAACAAGCTGTCTTTAAGTACGAGTAAGTACTCAGCAACAGCACTTTGAGCATGTGGTTCTTGTTTGAGAGGTCCATGTCTGCCATCCTGTGGCAGTTGGACGACACTACAGACGTGAACCTTTTCAAGGCAGAGAAAACACTTAGATGCTCACCACTTCGCTCATGTCCTCACTTTTTAGCTGTATCATCTTTGTTAAATGAAGACAGTGACTTACTTGATTTATTGTGTTCCTTATATATCAGTAGAGCTAATATAGCTGAAAACAAGACAGAAGCCAGCCCTCCAGCAGCAAAGGCAGCGGTGCAAATGTCGGAGCTGCAGGTGGCTGAAATAACACCATGCATGATGTTAACATCTGATCACATTATCTGCTAAATCACAAACATGATGTCTGCAACATAGAACTGGTTTTCCAATATCTAGGAACTATGGCAAACTAAGCAGCTTCCTTTCTTAAGAAGTGTTGCATAATCACGTAAATGGCTCCATGTATACAAAATAAAACACATTTATGTTTTTATTTTATTACAACAAGATGTTTCCCGAGCTAATTATCGGAAGACTTTGCAGACTATACCTGAAAACAATTGAATCACCTTCGACTTCCTACAACTCAGATGTGATATAATGCAAGAAAACTGTTTATTTAATGAACAGATTAATCAAATTGCATATGATTTGATTTGAGGTTGGATATGTGTGGTGGTAGTTCTTTTTTTATTTGTTTTAGTTAAAAAGGGACAATGTATTATATAAACATGATTGTTGTCATTTGATGCACTGTTCCAGAGTTTAACACTAATTGCATCTGCAGTTCATGAGCAGATTGGAGTTTTTAAAAGTAAGTGAACTTCCTACAACAGGCTGCATTTCTCTTATTTTGTTAGCCAGCAGGTACATGTGTGATGTTCAAGTCCCCGTGTACCTGATACGAGGATCTTTGTTTCTCTGGTCTGGTTGATCTCTGGCTGGTGAACCCTGCAGGTGATGCTGTGAGAACAAATGCAAGTTGGTTAGTTTTAGAGTACATTAGTAACATTTTATGTGGACAAAGGTGTTTTGTTTTCAAAAGATTTTTAACATTAAGTGCCCTTTGTCACCGATTCTGTTTAGAATTTTTATGGACAGAATTTCTAAGCATAGCCAAGCGGTGGAAGGCTTTCACAGAGAATCTCATGTCTGCTTTATACAGATGTTTTGGTTCTGTTGGCATCATCGAGTAATGGCCTCCAGCTTGCACTGGAACGGTTCGCAGCCAAGTGTGAAGCGGTGGAAATGAGAATCAGCACATGATTCTCATTCCGGAGGCCATGGTCGTCAGCTGGAAAAGGGTGGAGTGCCCACTCAGGGACGAGTTCCTGCACCATGAGTGATTGCAGTGATGCAGACGCCAAACTGGTCCATCATGATGAAGGGAGAGATGAGTGTCAAAGTGAAGCGCTCTGTTAGCCGATCAATCTACCTCCCTACCCTCAATTATGGTCATGAGCTGTGGGTAGTGACTGAAAAAACAAGATCGCAGATAGAAGCGGCAGAATTGGGCTTCCTCCGAAGAGTGACTGGCCTCCCCCTTAGAGAGTTGGGCCATTCGGGAGGGGCTCAGAGCAGAGCCGCTGCTCCTCCACATCGAAAAGAACCAGTTGAGGTGGTTCAGGCATCTGACAGTGTCAAATGCCTGAACCACCCGGGCCTCCTCCCAGTGGAACACTCAGCTGCTTGGGAACGCCTTGTTGTTGGTGTTGCTATGGGCAAACTGGAGGAGGTGGCTGGGGAGAGACAGGTGTGGGCTTCTCTGCTTAGACTTCCGGCCCCAGATAATTGGAAGAAGATAAATGGATGGATAGATGTTTTTTAAGAAATTAAATATAATGATGAGTTGGGGAAAAAAACTGGCTGCTTGTGTCTGATTTACTTACCAAACATGGTATATCACTGGTTAAATCTTTTAAGAAAACAGGATCAATTTAATAGAACCAAATTTAAATGTTGTTTTTTTGGGGTGTTCCCTTTAGGGGTGACTGCAGCAAGTCATCCATGCACATCTCACCCTCTGCCCTCGCTCTTTTCTTCACATCTCTTGTGTCTATTGCTTTGGACGTTTAAGACTTCACAGAGAGAAATACGTTCATACACAAGAGTTTTAGCTTTAAAGAAATCATAAATGCCAATGACCAGTCAAAATAAGGTCATAAGATTTAAAACTATTCCTGTTCACATTGCACTAATGATGTCTTAACTCAACAAGTCTGTTTCATGATACATGATGTACTGCATCGCAACCTCTCGCATATGAGAGAGCAACTTTTGATGTGTCTGAGAAATGTTTTGAGGCATAAGGAAAACATTTTGTTTATGTTACACAAAATAAATTATCAGTGAGTTTTGAAAGACGGAGCAATGATGTCAGTTGAACCTGCTGTTTCCTTCCTGCAGAGTAACTCTTTGTTTGATGATGAAACGTCCGATGGCATCTCGATCTCTTTCTGAACCTTGAGCGGGGATGTCGTTTCCTTGGTGATCCAGAAATGTTACCTGAGGCTCTGTTGGCCAGAAGTTCACCTCACACTGCACAGTCACCCCACATCTTTCAACCGAAACCACTGAGAGCTTTGGCTCCGAGACTGCACCTGTAAACAAAAATATCTAATCAGGTGTGCCAACTGAATCTTTCATCTGTCATCACTTCCTGAATAACCAGCTTCATGACTAGTTTTATGTGCATAATTCAAGCCATCGTCTTAATTAAGCTTCAGGCAACCAATTATACCAAATGTAGTTCACTGTGAGTAGCTAAAGATAACCAAGTTATCAAAAGGTAAATAGGTAAAGATTAAAATCTTTCTTAATAAAATTAAACACTATAAAAAGTCTTCTTTAGAAGCTTCATTAGAGTGAAATATCAACCAATTAATCACATAAACTTGGTAAACAACTTCAAAGAGACATGATTTTTAGAATAACTACATGGGGAACAAATAGTGTACACAGTTTACTCTGTACACAATTTAAAGTACTGGAGAGAGCACATAATGACAACATAATGAGGACAAAACCAGTTGAACCTGAGACACTCTGACGCACATGTGTGCACAGACTGAACTCTCAGCCTTTGTTGACACAGTACTTCACACAAGCTTAGAAGTGTCAGTTACTCCATTCACAAGCTTCATTTCATACTCACAGTAAACACAGGTTCTAGATTTACCCACAAAGTGTAATGGAGCTGCTAAAAAATGTTTTCTATTATGAAATTACTATTGAAGTATTAACAACTAGCTGGTTTTTGGGGGGTTTTTGTCATTTTTATGGGCCAAAAATTGCTTAGCACTGTTGCCTCACAGAAGCCAGCTGTACTGCAAAAATGTCTATCTAACCATGTGTTACAATCTTACAATCAGCCAAAAAGCCTTTTTGATGCTGTTTTGAGAGGCGAATACTACGAAAATTACACTCAAGCAAGTGTGTTATCCTCTTTCATCATTTAGACGTGACTTGGCTTAATCCATCAAAATGCCGTCGCTGGGTCTATTTGGACACTGAATCTGAATAATTCACAGAAATGTATAAAAGGAGTCATTCACATTACTTGGTTCGTTCAGCCTACGATTTGATAAACTAGACAAGGTCCAAGGCCTGTGCAGCATTCCTAGCTTTGGTTATTAATTGAACTTGAGAGGACGTACCAACAACAAGCTCCACTTCTGTGACCTCCCGAGGAGCATTCTTCCAGAGCTTGAGGCATTTGTACTTCCCTGCATCAGACATTTTCACATTGGAGATCCTTAATGAGATGTTTCCATCTTTCAGTTCTTTCATGATCAAGCTTGTCCTGTACTCAAAGATTGGATTCTTTATTTCGTAGGTCTCACAGCCATCCCGATACAGGAAGACCACATCTGGGTTCAGACCTTCTTTGGACCACTCAACAGTCGGAAAGTCAGTGCTGTCAGAGATCCTGAAGTTGCATGGTAGAATAACATCTCCGCCAGCAAATGCTAGAACCTGCCTCTGTTTACCATGTGCAGCATGTTCACCTAGAAAAAAAATACATAAATATATGAATAAATGTTTTCATTTAATGCTACATTTTATACTACTTATTCATCTCTGGGTGAGGGACGAGCAGTCTGAACAGACCTGCCCAGACCTCCTTCTCCATGGCATTCCCAAACCAACTTAATAATGTAATTACTCCAGTTATTTTCAGGTGTGTCCTCAGGAATTCTCAATCCCGAATCCACCCAAAACACCCCACCTAGGAGTCATCCAGTCATAATTATTTCAAACGGCTTCTTTGAAGGAGAAGCAGTTCTACTCTGACTCTGAAGGCCTGAATTTGTCACAGTCCTGGGTCGGTGACCCAGTGTTTTTGGTTTTTGTACTTTTACTTTTGATACTATTATGAATTATGACTGTTTGTGTTTTGGTTTCCCAGTGTTTATTCTGTGCTCCCTCTGTTTTGTGTCATCCCTGCCTGTGTATCCCCTCTAGTGTAGTCAGGTCTCTAAGTCTGTGTCTTTGCATGTGTGTGTGTTTCCTGTTTTACTTTGAAGGTCCGTGTCTAATCGCAGTGTGTTCAATTATCACCTGTCCCGTCATGTCAGACTACTCCCAGCTGTGCCCTCCTTCTGTGTCTCAGTCCCTCGTTATCCCTCTGTGTGTTTAAGCCTTGTGTCTGCCTGTTAGTTGCTGGTTCATCTGCGTTATCTCCCTACAGCATCTTATGGTTTTCTCTCTGTGTCTTCCTGCATCTCTGTTTCTGGCTTCAGGTTTGCTTTATGCTTAGTCTTCCCAGTTTAGGTTTTCTCAGTTCTGTTTTTTCGCCACCGTCGCCTTTTTGTATTTTCAGTCGCCACAAATAAAGCTACCTCACATCAGCAGTGCCTGCATCTTGGGTCCTTTACTAATTCCACACGGCTCGCCCCGCTGACCTTGACAGAATTCTTCTTCTTTCAGTCACTATATTTATAACTTGGGCTTGTTTTCATTTATTTCAGTTATGCAGTTAACAATCAGACAAATAATAAAAGAAAGACATGATTTTTTCTTTTTAAAGCTGCACTGGATAGCACTACTATTCCACTGACTCCTATAGGATGGTATTGCATTTACTTGTAATAATGAGACCTTGGACCTTATTTGTGCAACTGGAATTGAACTTTTTTTTTTTGCCATACTTTTCAGTTTTTTATACTAGTCAGTTTCCTACTTGCGACCAGATTGAGATATAGCATTTGCATTTGCCAATTGCTGTTTGGCTCTTTAAATTATTCAGTGGCTTGCATTTGCTTTCTTGCGCAAGAACAGTTGTTTGCTTACGCAATCTTGTGCTTTGTGTTTTTCCTTCCTTGATATGGCAGCAGATATCATGTCATCATGATTGTCTCATCAGGCTGCACAAACGTGAGATGATTTGCAGCCACCGACTGTAAAAACTATAAAATGAAGAAGGGCTGAGTGCCTTTCTTTGAGCAACACTGTATCAGTCACAAATGTCAGTGCATAACCAGATGAGATAAAAGAGATGGTTAATTAATAATGATCGAGGAATTACAAACAACTGTAAAACCAAAGACAAACTCTACCACCTCACGTGGCAGATAGAGAGCGCTTCCTCATACTTTGAAAATCACGCAGCATAAACAAAAGTTTAAAAAAAAAATGTCCACTGCGTCAGACTGACAGCTTCATGGTTTTATGCTGCGATAACTTAGTGCAACAATGCATGTAGGAGATTAAATAAACAAGATCCATTTTCACTTGTGACACAACAAAGGTAATAAGATTATGATTATTATTATTAGTAGTGATAGCTAAACAGTAAAGCTATGGGTTTGTTTTTTGTTTTTTTTACCTATGGCGCTCATTCTGACTGTGAGACTGATGGAAACTCCAGAGAAATGCAATGTAATTGTGCACATTTAGGAAATCTTCCAATGAATATGCCTCAAGAAGATTTAAATCATAAGAATCATGCTAACATTTGTGGATGCAAGAAAAATGCTTTAACAATCAAATACATTTATTTTTAAAGAGGGTTCAATTAGCTATACTTCATTAATTTCCAGGACATTAAAAAAATGCAACACACAACACCAACCACGTCACCAGTGGATTAGTTTTCTTTTTTTTTTTCTCTCTTTTTTCTGGTTCTTGTACAGGAGATGTGGAAGCAGTTCAGTTAACTTCTATAATTATTTTAATTTCATAACTTAGAGATGACTTTGACCTAACAGTAACAGGTTTGACATTTTGGTCTAATTAATTATTCAGCTTGTGTACTTTGTGTTTTTCTACAGATGACATTTGAGTTTAGCAGCTTGCAGAAAAAGAATCACAAACTAACAGATAAGTTGACAGACTGCAGGTAAATCACTCAATAAGTCAGTGTTATGCCTCTTACAGTAATAACTCATAATCCAGTTGCTAATAACTGGAGTGGGTGGGTTGTTTGCTTCAATTACAGAGCATTATGTTAACACTTAACATTTTAAATTTTCTTCTTTTTTTCTTTTTTCCTCTTCTTGCCTGGGTTCCTTCATGTAATGAAGGAACCTTTAAAAAAACAAAAAACAAGCGTCCATGCTCACAGGTGTACACACGGGTGATCACACCCACAAACTACACCCTTTTTGGCTCCTACCTCAAAGCACACTGTGTTGTGTTGATCTTATGTGCTGCACAATAATGTTTAATATTTAGTATTTACTGTCATATTCCCATATATCATTGTGATGTTGTTTATTCTATTACTCTTGTTTTCTTCTGCTTGTTTTCTTTTTTCCTTCTCAGCAGGTGATCCAGGTGATCGATATATGCATTTTTTTTCTTTTTTTTTTCTGCCCATTCTGTTGGTTTTTGTCTTTTGCCCTTCTCCCCAGTCCCTCTTCTCAGCTGTTTCTCTTTCTCCCCTTCTTTCCCCCAGTCAAGTCTGTCCTGTATTCAGCAAGTGAAAATAAAATAAACAATAAAAGGTGAATCAAATGGACCATTACGGCAAGGCTGGGATGGTCAATTTGGTAAAGTAAATCCGTTGGGCATCTTTCTTTGCCTTTAGACAACAATTCTGATGGCAAAAGAGCCAAACGGGACAGGCAAAAAAAAAAAAAAAAAAAAAAAAAAAAAGTGGATTAGTTTTCAAATAAAGATCTTACATTTCAGGAGTCCCCAATTTTTTAGATTGTATAGTTGTTTCTGTTAAAGGTTTTTCCATAAACATTCTTTAAAAAAAAGTTCTAAATGTGACCCGATTAATGTTGATTGATGTTGCAAAATTTCCAATAAATTTCCATTAAGGGTGCTTTGAGTGCTGGATTGCTCTTGTGCCTTTGCTTTAACTGCATAAAATCAAAGGCAGCTTGGCCTTTGTGACTGAAACGATACTTTGACAGTCACATTTATGCCTCAGAGTCAGATACTCAAACAACTGGCACAAAAATAATGCAGTATGATAAGGCGCAATAGCAGGAATCCCTGTAAACATACAACTATTCAGAATATCTGGACAAGGGACAAACATTGTGGTGCTGCACACGTTCTGGTTTCCTGGTTGGAGTTCCTTTGATAAATCATAGGCGCACCAAATATTCTGGGCCACCCATGAGATCCAGAAAATTTGGCTGTTGCCCTTTAATCCAAGTTAGCAAACTAGCACGGACTCTCAAACAACACTAGTAAGGAATAATAGTAGCAGTAGTAAAATATTAAAATATAACAATATTGTAAGCTGCATTATTACAGTGATGATCACATGAAACAGCCGGAGGCATAAAGCAAAATCTCTGCTCCCGGAAAAATATTTGCACCTCTTACAGAAGAACAATGATTTGTATTGTTGACATAACCTTTTGCATACATCCTACCACAAGGTATAAATGTGAAAACAGGTCTTAAGTTAATCCGACTCATCAGTGGAAACTATGCAATAACTTATCTCATATTCCAACACTGTGAATGCAAGAATGTGTGAGTCATATCTCCCTCTTATCACTCTGTGAGCCTGTAATTACTGTTATAATAGCAATAACACGAAGGTGGTTCTGTCAACATACAGTTTGTAATGTAATTGCATTCACATGTAAACATTTTGCACTTATAAAAAGATTTAGGAAAATCCAATTAGAATCGGGGACTTTGTTGGGACACCGAGGCCATCTGAGAGAGATAATCTCTCCAGTGTGTCCTGGGACATGCCTTTAAGACCTCACCCAGGAGGTTTGCTTTTACACTCAGCTCTCTCTTCACCACAACAGACCGGCACAGCATCTGCATCCCTGCAGCCGCAGCACCAATACGCCTATTGATCTCCCCTTCTCCTGTCACATGTGAACAAGACCCCAAGACTTAAACTCCTCCAATTGGGGCAGGAACTCGTCCCTGACTGATTCTGGGACCACCCAGTTGAAAGCCTTCTGCCACTTGCTGCACCTAGAAATTCTGTCCATAAACATTATGAGCAGAATAATTTTATATCACTCCATTTCAGTTTCAAAGCAAATCAATTCATTTTCAAAATATAAAATTCAATTTCAATTTAGTGATGATCATTTTCAAACCATAAATTCAAATTCAAATTTAACTTATTCAAATTCAGTTTCTGATGGCACAGATTTCTGCCCATAGACTATCATTTTAACAATAACACAACGATCTTCTTGCTGTCATGTTCATGGAATTTAAAGCTGGTAAAACAAGTTTGTCTTATTTGTTATTTAGCCTTAAACTTGTGTTACTTAAACGTACAAATCATGGACATTTGCCTCTTTGCTCTTCTGTGTAACTTCATTTGTAACCTTTTTTGTCATTACTATTGGGATTATATAAATTTGCAGCTCATTTATATAACTATAAACACATGTAATATAATGTAATAATAGCAGCTGAAGTAGTATTCCCCTCCTTACCTGTAAAAAATAGCAGCAGCCTGGCACACAGAAAAAGGCGCTGATACATCACCAAGGGGAAAAAGCTGAAGTTTCCCTTTAGTCACTGAAATGGTGTAAAAGTTCATAGAAAGTGTACACCGGCCTGAAAACAGGACGAGCCCATTAAAGACAGTACGGTAGACAGGACGCACAGAGACACTGCCTGGAGTTCATTCATGTGGTTTCACTATCGGTGTGTGTGTGGTGCTTTCAAGTACACTCCGTGTTTATAGCTACCTAATGTCCTAAACTGTCATTAAAATATAAAATAAAATAATAATAATAAAATAATAATGGTAATAATAATAATAATAATAATAATAATAATAATAATAATAATAATAATAATAATGGATTGGATTTATATAGCGCTTTTCAAGGCACCCAAAGTGCTTTACAATACCACTATTAATTCACTCTCACATTCACACACTGGTGGAGGCAGCTACAGTTGTAGCCACAGCTGCCCTGGGGCAGACTGACAGAAGCCAGGCTGCCATATCGTGCCATCGACCCCTCTGGGGCATACAGTGATAAAAGCATTTTGTGCTACCAGTTTCACTGTAGCACAATGGACTAAACTTGCCACTTGATGCCTTGACTTTTTTCTTTCTTTCTTTCCGTTTATGAGTGTGGGAGAACATTTTCTCCCAGCACACAAGGACGTTCCAACCTGAATATACACACGGATAACACAAGTCACATGACAATGCATTGGGAAAATGTATGAACGGGTGCAAGTGCTTATTTTTGACTGTGAATGCACTTCAGGAAGCCTGAGGCATATTCTTGAAGACTACCTAAAGAAATTACAAGAAACATTGCCTAAGAGCGTTCGGACTTTGTACCCATTTGTGTTTGTACTTTTCAATGTATTAATCTTTGTCGTCAGTGTGTGCAAATTCAACAAACTTTACAAACCGAGACATGTTTTTGCCCTACAAACTTTACAAACTACAACTTTTTAATAATTTTAATAATAATAATAATAATAATAATAATAATAATAATAATAGACACAGTTGAAGACATAAAAGTAATACTAAAGACTTACATCAATATAGATATGAAAAGATACAATGAAATAAATAAACACTTAACACCTGGGTTAAGTGTTCCTGGTGGAGTCATCTGACACTTAAAATCGGGGCAGCGATAAAAGCATTTCCTGAGTAAAAAGTAAAGTCAGGGAAATTAGCTCTGATTCATGCCAGCAGAAAGTACACTGGGATAATCAGGGCAGCAAACAAAGGCACAAATGACCTTGTGCAAAACATTAGCAAACAAGAATGATTTGGGAGTCTTTTTTTTTTTTTGGATAACAAAACATTTTTGTTACATGAGCCAGTGAAACAGAGCTCAATGTCCAATGTTTCATCTATAAAAATACAAACATATCAATTTCCATTTGCACAGTTTATGCAAAAACATAATTGGAAATATATTTTTTCTCAAGCCCATTGATACATAACACTATACAAAAAAATACAATAGCAAGTAAAAAAAGGCTTTAAAGTGCAATTATTTCATCTATTGGAAAAGCACTCCTATATGTTAACAAAGTGATGGTGAAATGGCCTGCATTTGTATAGGTTTACTAGTCCCTAAGGACCCCAAAGCGCTTCACACATCCAGTCATCCACCCATTCACACACTGGTGATGACAAGCTACGTTGTAGCCACAGCCACCCTGGGGCGCACTGACAGAGGGGAGGCTGCCGGACACTGGCGCCACCGGGCCCTCTGACCACAGCCAGTAGACAACGGGTGAAGTGTCTTGCCCAAGGACACAACGACCGAGACTGTCCAAGCCGGGGCTTGAACCGGCAACCTTCCAATTACAAGGTGAACTCCCAACTCTTGAGCCACGATCGCCCCACAGAGTGTTAACAATGTTAACAAAGAAATGGTTTTTTTTCTCCAAACAAACAAAAAGATACAAACTAGCCCCAACTCTTAATATGAAAGTAAAAAGAAACAGCCTTTTATATATAAGCAAAAGTATCGCAAGCACCATACATCATGGTCTGGTCCCATTTTTTGACTGGTAATGCAAAGAAAAAGAAAGAAATCATGCTTAATATTAAAAACATTTTAAGAACAGGAGACACTGCAGCTGACTGTCAAGCCCCTACTCCGTGCTTCCATCACTGGTGTGAAATTTCAGTTTCTAGTTATTGCTCAGTTAAGGAGTTTCAGTCATTTAAACCGAGCAAACATTGTCTTGCCTTATGCTTGAAATGTACAGCTTACATTTCCTTTACTTTTCATTTCTTAATAAACTTCTATGTTCATCTTCTTCAGGTAAATTTCTCAGGAGGCTGTGACGGTTATGAAATTCAGCTAACTGTGGAAGTCCTGGCGAGTGTCTACGCTGAGGATGGTGGGTGCTTTGATGGGGTGAGACACTGGAGTTGATCATCTGGTGGCTACTGAGAGCAGAAGAAGGGTTGGATGTTGGTAAGTGTAGTTGTAAAATAGCTGGACTGCTGTATATACGGTGGTTTCTTTGAGATATGTGACCAGGGTCTGGAAAGCTGTTTTGCCTTTTGATGATAAGCTTTGAACCCCTGCTTTTGGGTAAGTCATCAGATTTTGGAGTTTTATAGCTGGTTGAAGCTGAAGATGGGTTTGGATTGTACACACTGGTCAAGCTCTTGTTGTCAGGGTCGTGAGTTAAGAGTAGTTTGGAGGGTTTTGAAACGTCTGCTGTGGGTGTGGAATGACATTGGACAGTTGTTCCACCGTTGTAGGAAACAACATTGCTGTCCTCTAGTTTTTGGGTCTCATCTTCGATAAGAAACCCAGACTGTCTTTTCATCTGTCCAATGCTGCCATTTACCGAGCTGTCTGTGCTGTTAACTCTTGTCGGGTGGATGAGGCTTTGATTTGATGTCTTTCTGTTCACTGGCTGCTTTACAATAGCTGTGTAAAATAAAATACAAAAAAGCTGAATCATCTTGTGGCAAATAGAATTCAAACTGTATAGATGGCTATAGGAAAATTATCCAACCTTTCACTTGATTTATGACTTCAGTAAAACAAAACAAAAACTATGATCACTGTACAGACAAAGGAACTCCAAGAAATACACAGATCAGGCAAAACAATATGATCACCCATTGAATATTGTTTTGGTCCCTTTTTCACTGTCAAAACATCAAGATGTTAGAAAAACGTCTTTCAAGTCGTGGAAGTTGTGAAGTTGGTCCTCCATGGACTGGACTTCTTTGTCCAAACACATGTCACAGACGAACAGATTGGATTGAGCTTCATAAACCATTCATGATCCGTTTTTGCTTTATTACGTTGTGTATTATGTTGCTAAAAAGTTCAGGGAACCATTTCCACGAAAGGGGTACATGGTCTGCAAAAACAATTCTTAGGTAGGTGGTACGTATCAAAGTATTACCCACATGGGTAGCAGGAGCAATGATTTTCCAGCAGAACAGTATAACAGGATCTGCTGCTTGCCTTTTTCCAAAAGTACATTGTGGTACCAGGTGTTTCCCAAGTGTTTCCCAGTGTATGTATTCATACACCTTTTATTAGAAACAAAATTAACTTTAATTAATTCTTTAATTTGAGCTCCAGTAGCTCGTCTGTTGGATCGGACCGCACATCCATCAGTGAGCCTTGGCTCAACATGAACTCGTTGGTGCTCTGACTTCGTCATCTAGCCATCACAATTTAGGCCCAAATTAACTTGCTCAAATGCCTATGCATACCAGTTGTTCCTGCTTCTGACATTAAGTTTGAGGACAAAATGTTCACTTGGCTCCCTAATATATCCCACCCACTTACTGGTGCCATGTCAGTTATCGTTAATGTTATGCCTGATCAGTGTATACTATTGAGTCAGTCACAAAACCCCTGAGTTTCCACCTTACACACATGTAATTCTGTCTTTGTGTTCTCTATGTAAAGAGCAACTACATTTTTCTTCATCCTTAAAACAAAAACAACAACAACAACAACAACAATAAAAAAATAAAACACCAAAACCACTTTGCTGTCATTTAAAAATGTTTCTCAACTGCTCACTGGCAGTCTATATCAATGGCCCTTGCTTTGCATTTTTTTGTATAATTCAGAACTGTGACTCACCAAATCTGAAGCATTTTATGCATGAAAGGGCAACGAATCCAGCTGCAACTAAGAAAAACAGTGCTGTTCCTCCAATGGTGATGGCGATAGTGTGAGGATCAGACTTCATGCAGACACCTGAAATGACATAACATTGTGTTGACATATGAACAGATAATTCATATTATACTTAATATAAAATACCATATATCTGCAAGTTTTTCTTCAAGTCTAATGAGTCCTTATTGGTAGGAAATAAACACCCAGTGCCCTGCCAGGTTTCTTAATCAGGCTACTAGATTGAGACAGTGACACGTGCTAAACTGTACTGCCAACAAACTCAACAGGACTCCAGACAATGTCAAGAATAGAGGCGATATGCAAACTGGCAAGCATGTGGTGCAGAGGCCGTACATAGGTTGTATTGGAGTAAAGATATAATTTGTTATCATGATCTCTAAGCAGCACAGTGGCACGGTGGTAAGCACTGTTGCCTCACAGCAAGAATTCAATTCCACGATCAGGCCGGGGTCTTTCTGTGGGGAGTTTGCATGTTCTCCCTGTGTTTGCGTGGGTTCTCCCCAGGTAATCTGGCTTTCTCCCAGCATCCAAAGACATGCATAAGTGGAAGAGAATGGATGGGTGGATGGATCGGTCTCTAAGTATAGATATTTTGGCTAGAACTACATGATCAATCACAGGTGTGTTCTGCGGTGCCGTTGCAGGGAAGGCAGACGCACCTGTGCATTGCAATCAGCCTAGAATCTGTGTAGGGTCCTATGTTTGGGGATCATCGTTGATGTGTATGGCTGGCAGCCAAGCGTGTACAGCAAGCGTGACAGAGATAATAAAAGATGCGCAAAGCATGAGGGCACACCCAGGTCTGGTGTGGATTTCTTACAGCTTAAAATAAAGACAACAGTGGGTTAGGGTGTCAATCCTGGTGTGAAGTGACATGTGGAAAGCAACTAGAGAGCAAATGGTTAACATAGTGGTCATCTGATAAAACTCCACACACGGTAATTTATAGAAATCCCAATAAAACCTACACATAAACCCCAAATAGATAGCAAATGCATTTAAAAAAAATGTGAATATGGGTGTTTGAATGCACACGTGAAGATCTGGCATACCTGGTATGAGGATCTTTGTTTCCCTGGTCTGGTTAAACTCTGGTTGATGAACTCTGCAGGTGACACTGTTTGACAAATACACAGTTTATACCTCACATCATATAAGTGAAAATCTAATTTTACAGTTAGTTGGTTAAACATAATCTGCAGTATTGTGCAAAAGTCTTGAGCAAGTCTACGTGCAATAAATCACTGCACTTTTTCCCACCTAAAGAATTATATGGGGGGAAGTGCAGTGATTTATTGAAAAGTACAAACACAAATGGGCCCACAGTCTGAACTCTTATAGGCAATGTTTCTTGTCATTTCTTTAGGTAGTCTTCAAGAATAGTCATCGGGGTTGCTGAAGGTCATTGAAATTCTCCTTTGGATGTTTATTTTGTGTTGTGTCCTGATGATCTCACAGTGTGAATATAGGGGCCCTGGCTCTCAGGAGGCCAGTCCACAGCAGATAGGGTTACACTGCATGAGAACTACTCCTGACAGTTACCTAATGAGATTAGAGCCAGAGAAACAATGAGTTCTGACGCTGTGTTTTCCTGTTGTCCTATCAGAATATAAAGAGACAGATTCAAGACTTTTGCACAGTACTGTAATAAAATTTAAAAATGCTTATCCAATTATTAATGTCTAAAAAAATATGTATAACCTGCTGGTAGCTCTTTGCAGAGTGACTCTTTGTGTCACAGTGAAACATCCACGGGCATCTTGTTGTCCTTTGGGGTTTTCCCCATAGATGTTCTTTCCATTGTCATCCAGAAATGTTACCTGAGGCTCTGGCAGCCAGCAGTTTGCTTCACAATGCAAAGTTATGGCATCACCCTCCGCTGAAATCACTGAAAGCCTTGGCTCAGAAACAGCCACTGTAAAAACAACAAAACCAGAAGGTGTGATCATTAAATCTGCCATCCGACGCACCTGTCCTTATTTCTGATAAACCTGTTATTGTTTTTATGTTAAAGTTACATCTATGATGTCAAACCCACACTTTATAACACTCTTGGCTTCTGAAGAAGAATGAAAGACACTCTAAGTGATACACAGACAATACAAACTGCTTTTACACAATTAAATTAAACTATTTATAGACAGTATCAAATCACAACAGCAGTTGCCTCAGAGCAATTTAAACTGTAAGGTCACAACCCTATGATATTTATATGGAGCTGTGCTTTTTATAAAGTAATCAACTTTTCTAAAGCTCCTTGAAATTGAGCGTTTAAGTAGATGAGTGTCTCCTCCTATAAAAAGACTTTGGTTCCTAAAAGTCTGTTCCTCTGATGAAAGAAAGATTATCTCATGTGAACCAATCCTTAATCATGGCAACTTTTACAGGAGTTTAAATCTTACATTGGTCAAATATTATTAATAGTATAATATGCACTTCTGAACAAGGCCAACTGGCCATATTCCCAGTAAAATAATGAAATAAAGCTGGTGTCATTTGAAGGTTTAGCACACACATTTTACTTTACAGACCCCCCAAAAAATGATGCAGGTACCACCATGGTTGTGTTAATATTTTTCATTCATTAGGGACAAAAATATATCCAAATTTGTAACAATAACAGAATTGTATCTACTATCCCTGGCAGAGGTTTGGTGATGCAATGGTTGCTTGTTTAAGGTCTAATGACTGTGACTCAACTTCAGGGATTTAATGAAGACACGAATGAAACAAGAATTTCAAGAAATGCAATAGTCTCATTTCCTGTTTTTCATTATTGGCAGTGGCAGCTTGATTTAATGTCCACATTTGGTCTAAATCACATTTAAACAGAGAGACATGAAACCAAATGAGGACACACCGGATATGTTCTTCCGGTCCAGCCCACAGGTGGGCGATTGCTACATGAGCAATGAGGCTAATGATCAACCAGTTCAGCCTGTTATGAAACACCCAACTATTAAAAAGAAAAGAAAAGAAAAAAAAAAAAAAAAAAGAGTCAAATGTGTACACACACTGAACTCAAAGGACATTCCTGTGGATGAAGCTGTTGTTTGTACTTTAAGCTTCAGAAATGACGCAGAATACAGTCGCGTATTTTTAACCCATAGGATTAAATGTTATGTACACAATGTATTACTTAAAGAGCAAAGTGGAATTGATTCTCGGTGTTTTTCACAACTGCTACTATATTTACAGCCTATACTCGGGATACTTGCCACTAAAGTGTGATATTTAGCTGAAAGTAGTGGATCTGTGTTTAAATAATCTCTGTTCTGTTCCTTCCATTTGTGGGCGATCGTGGCTTAAGAGTTGGGAGTTTGCCTTGTAATTGGAAGGTTGCCGGTTGCTTGGACAGTCTCGGTCGTTGTGTCCTACTGGTGGTGGTCAGAGGGCCCGGTGGCGCCAGTGTCCGGCAGTCTCGCCTCTGTCAGTGCGCCCCAGGGTGGCTGTGGCTACAATGTAGCTGCCATCACCAGTGTGTGAATGGGTGGATGACTGGATATGTAAAGCGCTTTGGGGTCCTTAGGGACTAGTAAAGCGCTATATAAATACAGGCCATTTACCATTTGGAAATCTGTTTAAAGTTTCCTTTTTTGGATCTATTATGCTATGTCTTTATCTTTGAACTCAACTAGAGCAGCTTTGTATATGTCACAGTCAAAATATGGTCTACTCCTCTTTTATTGGTCGTTGGTGCAACTCTTCTGTTCAGCTCCACTGTCTAAAAGAAGCTAGTTTCCCCTGTTTCCTATGCTTTCGTCTGTTGACCTCCATAAACAGAACATTTGAGCAGAAGGAAAGTTTGCTCTAGCAAGATAGTGGCTAACCTTATCAACCAATAAAGCTTGATACTCATCAAGACTCATTTAACTTTGAAGTAGTTTTAGACTGTTGACAACCAAAGGCTGAAATGTGAGAAGTTTTACAAGTGTGTGGATTTATGGACGTATCATTGATTTTTATTCAGTTGCTATACGACCCGAAGAATGGATTCAGATTTTTAGGTATAATTAATAGCTCAATTGTTTATTCAAAAGGAAAATCAAATAGATAGAAGATGAAATGAGATACAGATGCAGAAAAGAAGCAGCTCACAGATACTGTCTATGTTTAAAGAGCTCTGTGCTGTTAGGGGTAGGGTCAACTTATATCAAGGACCACCATCTAACCTAGCATAAACTTTGTGGAGCATGGTTTATCCTCCTGTAATTCAAAATTGTGCCCATTCGAGCTCTGACTCTAAAGTAAAACCCAGATCCTGATCGCATGTTAAATGAATTTAGCTGAATTGGACAAGAACCCAACATTTAAGTGGGTGAAGCACACTTAGGCAATTCAATGGTGAACTCTTTGTGTAGAAATGAACATGAGTGGACATACCCACAAACAGCTCCACTGTTGAAACCTTCCTGGCGACATTTTTCTGGAATACGAGGCACTGGTACTTTCCAGTATCAGGCACCTGCACATTGGAGATCCGTAATGAGATGTTTCCATCTTTGAGCTCTTTCATGATGAGGCTTGTCCTGTATTCGAAGACTGGATTCTTCATCTCGTAGGCCTCACAGCCATCCCGGTACAAGAAGACAACATCTGGCTTCAAGCCTTCCTTGGACCACTCAACAGTCGGAAAGTCTTCCTTGTCAGAGATATTGAAACTGCACGGTAGAATAACATCTCCACCAGCAAAGGCAAGAACGTGCACTGGCTGATCCTGAGCAGGGGATCCACCTAGAAAAAAAAAACAAAAAGAAAAAAGAAACACAAAAAGGATAAAAAACCATATTAAAATGATAAAAACTAAAGTTATTGAAGTAGGCAATAAACAATGTGAGTAAAACTTTACGCCTCCAGGTGGATTGACTCCTGTATGTTATTCTATAGGTGAAGAGAGCACGGAGCTGCAAGGCAAACTCTGCAGTTTACCAGCCTTTTTCAAATCCTGATCAATACTCTGAGTATTGACCAGCAGGATTACAGTTACATTACAGAGACAATCAAGTCTATCCCATATATTTTTAATGCCACATTAAAGCTATAAGGGCATACATCTGTAACAAAAGTACGACATCCAGAAGAGAAAGCCCCTTTTTAAAAGAAAAAAAATTCTGACACAGTAAACTGGGTTTTTTTTTGTTGTTTCTTTGTTTGTTTTGGTGACATTGTTGATTTATTTTTTCTCTTATCCAGGTTTGGCCATCTTATCTTATTTGAAATGAAAGAAAATTGCCACCCAAAGAGCCCGACAGAAAACAAAGCTGCAAGACTGACAAGGACGTTTGTTTCTGAGGACTTTGAATGCCACAATCAGCTGCTTGCACTTATTATCTTTTTCACCTGCATAACGTTGCAGCAGTACTTTCCTGTGACGCAACAATGACGGCTTAGTCACTCAAATATTCTCTCATCCAATTAATCATGAACTTCTGAATGCACTGCATTTCTGATGGCATTTATTTTTAAATGCATAGTATTTGGTTAATGATACAACTATTGGCACGAGTCCATCTATTGAGGTTTGCACTGGTTGGTTCAGCGTGATTAAGATATTGGCCAGTGATGTTCATGAGGTAAGGTGGGGAAGTCCCCAAACCTGTAAGATGTATACTTTGTACATACATGAAAATGTCCCACACTGTCTCACACATACTCTACGTCCCACACTTTGTCAGGACACAGATAATTGTGACATTTACGTAAGCAAGATGCATAGAAACACACTTTATTTGGTACACCAGTTCAACTGCATGTCAGTGCAAATATCTATTCACACAAATCACATGGCAGCAACTCCTCATTAAGACATGCAGACATGGTTAAGACTGAACATCAGAAACTTTGAACATGGTGCACAGTTCTGCACCAGTTAACAAACCGTACATTTCATTTGATTCAGGCATGCAGTGTGTGCATCTTTAACAATTAAAGAACAATTATGATTAAATGATTGCACATCATTGCTGTTCACAATTATGTTTGTGTTTTTTCCTCTTTCAAGTCCCCCAAATTCCCTCTGCACTAGACTGTGGCATATTTAATTGACATATCTGTTATTTTCTCTTCCTCTCTTATCCATTTATAGATATTATATTCGTATTGATTTGGGGTTACTTTTAAATGCATTATGGTTTTGTTTTTTCAAACTTTGTGAGTAATTACATTAAATAACCATAATTTCAGCACTGGTTAAAAATACTATGACAACAGTGTTTGTAGTAATTATACAGCACTACTACAGAATGTATAATATGAAATCCTGTCTATAATGTTGAAAACTATTATTTTATTCTGAAAATCTCTTAACAACGTCCTGAGATCACTGCAGATTTGAAACTTGACCTAAGGACGCTGAGTTATTATTTTTCAGCTAACTGGTTTGGCATGATTTACACAGGTAACGGCAGCAGGTGAAGTTTAAACAAACACTTTCTCGCACTAGTGGAAGACAAACAATCGCAGTATTGCTTGGATCCGCGGCTCGTGCAATGAAAGGTCATGTTGAGCTTGTGCTGTTAAGTATCCTGTTGACGGCCAGGAATCACTGTTCACCGCTTGGAAAAAGTTAATTTAAAGAAATCCTGAAAAAAAAAAAACCTGTTGGCTCCTGTGATCTTTATCTGATAACAGCGATGCATGACGAGGGCGTTTTGCAGTTAACCGACCTTTTAAATTTTCCTTTCAGTAAAATCCCTAACGTTCTTTGGCACTTCTGATTTAGGGGAGACCGGGATAGTTGTAACGTGGGTCAGTTGTAACACTTCCAATTTCTCCAATCAGGGCTAAGTTTCAAATGATGTGACTCATCCTGTGCATGCCCAATTCAGTTCTGCTATCACATGTGAAAAATCAGCACATTTTGTCAAACACAGACAATTTAACATGAAAAAAAGTGATTTGTATGACAAAAAGTACGTTTTTCTACTTAATTTCAACTTCTAATAGCATTATCTGCTTTGCAGTTAAACTCATCAAACTTAAATTATGTTATTTGTATGTCTATGGGGATATATTCTGTGTAGGTCTTTAGTGCTAATGTTTTAGCTGTTGGCTGTAATGTTAGCTAGTTCATGGCTATAGGAGTCTGGGTCAGTTGTAACAGCAACAGTCTGGGTTAGTTGTAACAGCAACAGTCTGGGTTAGTTGTAACAATAATGCAGATGTTACAACTTTGCAAACCACACCAAGGTAAGCCAGGATAAAAAGTAATGGAATTGCGATGCTGGTGAACAACTACATTTTTTCAGCTTCATTGTTATGTTCAAAATTAGTGCAAGAGTTGTAGGTTATAATGCCCACTGAGCCAATGAGGCCAAACTCAAGGAAGACCAACCAAAATTAATGAAATATTCAGTTGCAGAAAATTACATAATTTGTCTTTTTGGGGGGTTGGAATATGTTCAAAAGCTGGATTTCTGCATTCTGTCACACACACACATAGCTACATAAATGGCTCTAAGTGCATTCATGTGTTGAATAAACAAAGATTACACGTTAATGTTTTGTTAGTACCCTTATTTCATTGTGTTATATTTCACCCCAGGATATGTTACAACTAACCCAGACTATGGGGTTAATTGTAACATTTCACTCTTCGTGTTTGAGACCATACCATGCAATGGGTAATTGTGCTGCAGAGAAAATAGCTGCACTATTTAATAGCAGAGACATGTAAATACTTTGCATTACATTTTGAATCCACTACCTTAAAAGAGCTTCAATTTACAGACAGAAATGTCAAAAATGTTACAACTATCCCCGGTCTCCCCTACTTTAGTCTTTGACTGAACGTGAATTAAATCGTTGCACTAAACAAAATCAGCATAACCCAGCTCTCTTTCTTACCCATATAGGATGACAGCAGACTGGCAACCACGAAAAGACGACGATACATCCCTAAAGGACAAAAGACTTTCCCCCTCAATTACTGAAGAACCAAATTAAATGTTTCGGAAGTTATCATTCTCTCTGCAGACACGAGAAGCCTTTCAGATCAGTGTGATCATACACACTGACTGACACTCACAACTAGTGATGGGACGTTCTGTATCGAGGCTTCGGAGCGTGTGTCGAGTAATGGAGGGGGCGTTTCCGCGAAGCGCGTATCGAGGCTTGCTTCATTTATGGGAGGAGCTGAAAATGATGACGTCCGAAGCCTCGCTGCCCGGCTGTACCACGTGACTGGTTCATGAAGTGGTTCGAACTTTGCCGCGAGATATGACAGCGATATAAACCCTCAGACTTCATTCAAAATGTGGGTGTTTGATGGAGAGTTGCGGTTAGTGAGAGTTTGGAGACAGTTTGGAGGTTTATGAGAGTGAGGAGAGAAAGTCAGGAGAGAATGGAGCCAGCTAAGAAGAGGAGGATGTCCTCCCCTGTGTGGGAACATTTTGATCCTATTCCTCCCAACAAGGTATTTCTACAGAAGATGTATTTTCATGATACTGATGGTGCAATACAATTTATGTTGAGCTGTCTTGACTTTTGTACAAGGTGAAGTGTTTGCTATGTGCCAGGGAGCTGGGATATAACAGCAACACCTCATCCATGCTTAGGCACTACAGAGCTTTGCATGAGAATAAGGGGGACACCGATCGTGGAGCAAGACCAGGTGAGCCATCAAATGCAATGATAATATAGCATGCTGTAATGTTACTAAATGATATAACAATATTATACAACTGTTATAAGTTACGTGTGTGATATTTATATTTGTGCTTTATCTTTATTGTCTTTCCTCAGGAGAACAATCTCAAATAGATGAAGACCTGGTCAGCATGGTGATTGAGGACTCCCAGCCATTTAGCATTGTGGAGGACAAAGGATTCAAAAGATTTGTTAAATCATTAAATCCTAGCTATGTTCTCCCCACTAAAAAGGTCATAAAAGCAGTGAAAATTTAGTTTTTACAGAATAAAATGTGAACAGGCAGGACTGAGGCTCAAAGCCTCAGTGTGTAGCTGTCCATACCTCAACGTTACAAAAGCACAACCACTGTCCACACCCCAACCACACCTCACCTCACAGTAAATGATCATTTCCATTTTAAGCATTTCCAAATAATCATTTCCCATACTGCCAGTATAAATATACACAGTATACTGCCATCAATACAATATACATGTTTTACACACTCCTTTTGTTGTTGACATTTACAGGCTGTGTGCAAAATGCCACACTCTTCAAATTCATGCCAGCTATTATTTTTACGTCCAGTAGGTGTCCTACTAGAGCAAATGAAGCTTCATGAAGCTTCGTGTTGGGGTGAACCAATTGGATGAAAAGCTTCAGTGCTTCATGGGGCTTCATCTGCCCATCACTACTCACAACCTCAGACTTTTGATCTTGGTTTGGCTGTGGGCGGTGCAGCAGTTACGCTGTTTCTCACCTGCTGACACACTGACGCTTCAACACCAACAAAAAAAAGAAGAAAAAAGGTGGTGCTCCTGACCTCTCCAGGGGTCGCCATCTGGTGTTAAAAATGAAACATTACACTCGATTTACACAGTAAACGGGCTGGTGGTGCTTCATCGACGTGTCAACTTTCCAGCTCTATAGTTTGATTCGTGGAGTCTGCCATAGTATATAGTTTACTTATCTTTGTCGAAGCCTTGTGTATTACTTTAGTTATTATTAGGTCTGAGGCAGCTTCAGGCTGAATTACAGAGCAGGTAAAGCACATCGTTTTTGCAAAACCTCAATGCAATTTTGCACTGATAACGAGGCTTTGTAGGGTGTTTCTGTTCTTATAGAGAGACTGTACGAGTCCAGTTTCACGTTTATGTACAAAAACGTGTTGATCTAACCCAAATAAAATATATTTTTAAAAGAACGTTATTAAATCGATTTATTTTACAGCCTTCAAACAAATTTGTCAAAATATGAAAATGATGAAATCAAAGACCACTGTGTGTGTGTGTGTGTGTGTGTGTGTGTGTGTGTGTGAGAGAGAGAGAGAGAGAGAGAGAGAGAGAGCGAGCGTTATAGAGAAAAGTGACACCAGAAATGCCATATCAGTGAAAGTGCACGGTAACGCTGAGACACGAGGTTTTATATATCTGTTGCTATATATTTACATATACATGGCATCTGCAAACAACGTTTAGCTTAAAAACACTGAGCTATATTATCGTCGTCACGATTTCCTCGTTTTAGACAGGAAGCTCACGCGGCTGATCGCACGTGACAGTGTAAACAAACAACAGAGCTCTTGCGCAGCAAGTCGTAGACTTTTGTTCTCTTTGAGGTAAGAATTCCTCTTAAATACTTTTGATTATTCTCATCAGAACTGTTATAGAAGTAAAACACCTTACAGTGTCAAAGGTTTTAACGTTTATGTGCAATTATATAAATATATCGTAACAAATAATACAAAGAAGAAACAGACAACAATACAGTGAAAGTGAACGTGGTATCCGTAACTTTCAGATAGGGTCCAACAACAAAAGAGGCATCAATGCCTTATAAAAGATGAATGCAAGTAAACAAGGACACAATAGCAGTAAGTCGCAATTCCCAAAAGGTCGATTCTGTCATCCCGCTGTAGCGTTTTCAGTGGGAGAAACATTTCGTTACCCATCCAAGTACAGTCGATTTAAATGTTAGAGTTTTCTCAGCTGACGGAAGGGGTCACAGCAGTTCGGGGGATTTTAAAACCGTCCAACATCGTTTATATGTCTTTGTCGTTTTCTGGCTTTGAGATTAAAACAATAGAATAGAATAGAATAGAATAGAATAGAATAGCTTTTTTCGCATTATATGACATGATAAAATCACAGTTAAGTATCTCTTGTGAGTATAAATTTTTGATTTAACTTTGATACTTAATGTCATTTAACACAAAAGCAAGAAGCTTATGACTACAGCGACAAAACTAAGTCCGGAGTCAATGCAGAAACTTAACAATCGGTTTATATGAAAATATCTGGAAGGGGGAGTTCATTGTTTTGAAAGCAAATATAAAAAACGAATTAAAAACGACCAGAAGAGGGAGAAAAAACAGTCAATGATGAAGAAAAGAGGACAAAACAAACAGAAAATGCCTTTTCTCTTGGAGCAAAATCGCACAATTAGCATGATTTATTTTGATTGTCTTTAATCTCGTTAATTTTACAACTTTTCTTTTTCTTTAAGATTTCCAAGATGCATCTGTGGAGATATAAGTTATCGTTGAGAGGCTACAGAGCCATGATTTTACAGCACATGATTTTCTGCCTTCTCCTGATACACAGAGGTGAGTTCATAGTTTTATCAGCATGGTGTCACTTCACATTGCACGCGCTGCCTCTTAACTGCGTGCAAAACATTTGTGGTTGAGATCAGTAACTTCCTCCTCCAGAATCAAAGAGCCAACCCACAAAGCCTTTCACAATAGCCTATCAAAGCCTATCAAGCATTTCTTTGTGTAGTCTTTTGTGTTTTGAATACTCTTTTCTACTGAACGCTCATTTGATGTCGCCATTGGATTATTAGACATTTTTACTGCATAATTGCATTATATGTTTTGTTATGCAACCTTTTGTGTTTCTCCTTCTTAAACCAAAAAACAGAAGCAAAGGCCACATTTTTGGTTGCCTGAACAGGTCATGATTGTTGTCATATATTATATTATATTATATTATATTATATTATATTATATTATATTATATTATATTATATTATATTATATTATATCGTAGTTTGTTTGTTTTTTATTATATCCTGGGGTCAGATGCCTTCTGTGTAAACGACTGTCATGTGGTTTGACTGCAGTTTACAGTACAGTTTGTACATTTTTTTCATTTTCTTCTCTGAGCTCAACGTCACCAAGGTTAAGTGCTTGGTAAGTTAAGATAAGATAAACCTTTATTAGTCCCACACATGGGAAATATTTGGGTCATGTAAGAAAGTACAAGTTTAAGACGTGAAAAAACCCCCACAATAGGTTAGATTATTATTATTATTAGTAGTAGTAGTAGTAGTAGTAGTAGTAGTAGAAGTAGTATTTCCAGTTTGGTCTAATTTTATATAAATGTCAACTTGTTTGTAAACTGTAAGAGGTTTGACAGTAACTGTGACTTACACTGTCAGGAATGCTCACTTTACTCCGCTGTTTCCATTTTCCATTTCCTCCTCAGGGCGGCCTCTCATTGTCGTTCCATTGCGAGCAGTCGTGGCCACAGTTGGGGAAGAGGTTGTTTTGCCGTGCCACGTTAAACCAGAAATGAATGCTAATGGGATGAGACTGGAGTGGGCGAGACCTGACCTAACACCCGGGTTTGTTTACGAGTGGGCAGACGAAAAAGAACACGTGGTGAACAAACAGCCGTCGTACAGAGGAAGGACATCAGTGGTTAAGGAAAAACTGGAACATGGAGACATTTCACTGAAAATCTCAAACGTGACCATCTCTGATGAGGGAATATACAGATGCCTTGTGCCACAAGTGGGACAAGAGGCCTTCATTAAACTCATTGTTGGTAAGTAAATGCACGTTATATTATTTTTTTATGTCCTTTCTTTATGTATTAATGTGTTTTAAAGTACTTTGAGTGCTCAATTTGAGTTTAAAAATCTCATGTAACTGAAAGAAAAGAATGGAGACACTGGCTTCTTGTTCTCATGGAAACATTACATCTACTCATTACAACTACTTCAGATCAAGTTATCCTTTAGTGTCATGGGACTGGATCCCTGCATGGAGTAGAAGGATTTTTCAACCTTGAGGGAAGAAAGCTTGGGATCCTCTTGTTAATATGTATGCATGACTCAGGATATGTCATTAACTTCGAGAGATCTAATTCTCCACTAATGACCTCAACCAGATCTCAAACCCAAACCATAACTTTTGTCAAAAAAGCAAAAATTAAAATAAGACTTTTTTTTTCTGTGCTTTCTGTGCGGCTTAAGAGGTTAACTTATTTATTGCCCCCTTAATAAGTCAACAAATGAATACATTAATGTTCAGCATGCTGTTGCAGTGATACCTCACAGTAGTGTTTTGGGTATTAGCTCTGATGGGTTTGACTGGTGTTTTCAGTGTGGCGTTTAC